ATAATTGTATGTATGATTCCACAAAGTCACTTGCTTTTGACTTATAATGGAAACCCGCTCGGATACATAAGAACACAAGAACTAGGAGCAGGAGTAGACCATTCGGCCACTTGAGCTTGCTCCGCCATTTAATAAGATCGTGGCTAATCTTCTAACCTAATTCCATTTACCCGCCCTTGATGTACAACCCTTTCATTCCACTGCAATTATGTTCGACGTACCTTTTTTAAATGCAATTACAAACTCTCTCAGAGTTTCAGAGTCAAATTCATCTGGTTCCATTCCATATTTCTTGCCACCAGCATCAAAGATTGCTGCATTCACATCTTCACCACTCTCTGCCAGGCCCAGATCAATCATCTCTGATGAATAATCTTCTTCATCAGCAATTGCAAAAGTGTATTCAGGGAAATCCTTGGCTACTTTCAAAACTTTTTTCCGCCAGTACTGAGTAGCTTGAGAACAATAATTCTCAAAGAATGAGCATCATTAAATAGACTTACTATACTAAGACAGTTAATTTTTACATTTAAACCCATAAATGTTATCCGGATACTATTTGTTTGTAAGAAGACAGTACATTATGTTCCATTTGCTTTAGAAGAGCTAATGTGTATACCAGGTCCCTTAAATGTTGTTTATTTATATTATATATATTTTTATTATAGGAAAAATTAAGTTTCCAAAATACAATTATTTTTTGTTCAAGAGCTTTTCTTAAATTGATGAGAATCATTGCTGTTACATCCAATTCCAATTGCCTTTTTCTGATGAACCTCCCCCAAATGTTTTGAAAAACTGCTCTCAGTTCAGAGGTGGTATTTCAGTGTACGCCTTCCTTAAAATAAACTGAAAAATGTAGTGTACATGAAATTGTTACTCAACAGTAATTATGAACTAAAATGAGCCAATATATTCCAGTCATCTTCTTTGGAAAGCAAAAAAGGATCACATGAAAAGATCTCTTGAATAATGATGTGGTATGCTTTTTATATATGCAAGTCATTTCCTGATGTAAAAGTACAGCAGCTAATGAGGGAGAGGCAATGCAGATATTTCAGTAAGATTTTTAAAAAAGGATGCTAAAAAATGTGCTGGAGCAATTCCATCTAGTCTTAATTTTGTGTACAATTGTGAAAAATTCTTAAATATGGAAGTTTTTTTTGCACGTCTTTAAAAGAACCAAACTGTACTTTATTACTGTATTTAATTTAATTCTAAATTAATTCTAACCTAATTCCTAATTCCATTTACCCACCCTATCCCCATATCCCTTAATCCCTCTATCCTTCAGAAATCCATCAACCTCAGTCTTGAATATGTTCAAGGACTGAGCATCCACAGCCTTCTGGGGTAGAAAATTCCATAAATTCACTACCCTCTGAGAGAAGAAATGTTTCCTCAACTCATTTCTAAAGTGCTGACCCTTAATCTTGAGCCTATAACCCCTAGTTTTAGATTCTCCAACCAGGGGAAAAAAGATTACCTCTAATTTTTCTATATTCTAGAGAATATAGGCCTAGTTTACTCAACCTCTCCTCGTAGGTCAACCCCCTCATCCCAGGAACCAACCTAATGGATCTATGCTGCACCCCCTCTAAGGCGAGTATGTCCTTTCTTAGATAAGGAGACCAAAACTGCACACAATATTCCAGGTGCGGTCTCACTGGAGCCCTACACAATTGCAGTGAGACTTCCCTACTCTTGTACTCTAACCCCTTTGCAATAAACGCTAACATGCTATTAGCCTTCCTAGTTGTTTGCTGTACCTGCACACTAACTTTCTGTGATTGGTGTACAAGGACACCTAAATCCCTCTGAATACTAACACTACCTAGTCTCTCCCCCTCTAGAAAATAATCTGCATTTCTATTTTGTCTACCTAGGTGAATAACTTCACACTTCCCCACATTATTCTTCATCTGCCACCTTCTTGTCCACTCACCTAACCTGTCTATATCCCTTTGCATCCTCCTTGTGTCCTCCTCACAGCTTACTTTCCCACCAAGCTTTGTATCATCTGTGAATTTAGATACACTTCAGTAAGCAACAGCCTACCCATATATTAAAACGTTAACCTGGCAATTAAACTAATGGCAACATCAAGGAAACAATCAGAAATTCCAGCTTGCCTTCAGGCTGCAGGTAGAGTCAATATGACATCTTTGGTTCTACATTATATACTTCTCAAGTTCAGTAAACTTGGGTTAATTTCTCTGGGGTTATGCTTCCACTGCTGCCAACCTCGAATCAAGCAGGCAATCAATGAGATTGAGAGACACTTTGGAGGTTGCTTTTGTTCCACTCCAAATTCTAGATTCAGACAACTTGGTAGGAAGCTGCCAGGCCTTTGCTCCTAGTAACCATCTAGTTAGGAGAATCTTCTCTAGAACCAAATTCTAAATAGTGGTGGGGGAGGGAAAGGAGTGGGCACCTGGTCATCAGATTACATCACCAATATCAGAGTCAGCTCAATGGCAACAGGTTTGGGAGGCCGAGCCTATTTTAAAGTTTTAAAGTGTATATATGGTTTTATGCCCAAGTGGTGCCTTTTAAAATACTTAAAATACTTATGGGAGGGAATGGGAGAATTATTATGGCTAGTCTCCACCCAGCTCCTGTGGAATAATTTAGACAAATCAGCCTAAAACTATCATTTTTACTTGAGGATAAGAGATATTGAACTAAAGTCACTTTGAAGAATCCTTACTTTGTTTATATCCTGTGCTATACCTGATCTAGGAGTTTGGGCAAACAGGCACTATATCAAATCAGATTATTATTACCCCCAATTCATTTTAATGGTGTCCTGATAATATGTCCCACATCATAATAATAATCCTTGCATTTGATATAGTGTCTTATCACGTTTTCGAGATGTCTCAAAGCACTCCACAGAATATACTGCAAAGTGAATTGTGAGAAACACAGCATCCAATTGCACACAACAGTGTCCCACAAACAGTCATGGAATGAGTGACCAAATTATAATAATTTTTTTGAAGGGATTATTATCCCCAGAAAAGTGCTCCGCCAATCGACTAACGACCAGGTTCTGACTTACTGCTGAGTAAATGATGCTTGTGGAGTAAGGAAACTCGCCTAATGTTTTACCCTGCCTGAGAATTGAATCCAGATCCTCTCGCTTGTGAGGCAAGTGCTCTAACCAATACAATACTCCACATACTTTCTTCATGAGAAGTGAAAAACACTGATGCACAATTGAAACTTTATTATAAAGAATTCAGATGGAATTGTTACTACTTAAAACGTTATTATTATTTAAGTTGTTATATTTATATATTAAAAGCTCAGAACCTGACCACGGCCACCGCATGACCTTAAGAGCCACTGAAATCAGTGAGAATCCTCGGTAGTTCTTGGCCTTATATTTTAAGGTCAAATAGCTTTAGAGGTTTCAGGTGGACATTCAGGCCTTAGCACAGTTAATATTTGTGTCAGACTGGCTCAGTTGGTTGCACTCTTACCCAAGCTAGAAGGTTGTGGGTTCCGGCCTCCTGTCAGGATTTTAATTAAAAAGTAATAACCTTTGCACTTGATATAATAATCCTTGCATTTGATATAGCGCTTTTCACATCTTCTAGACGTCTCAAAGCGCTTCACAGAATAGACTGTAAAGTGAATGGACTGTATATTTGAGGGCAGTATACTGTGAAGTGCAGTGACTGTGTTTTATGGGTGAACACAGCACCCAATTTGCAAACATTAATATCCCACAAACAGCCATGCATCAAATTACCAATTTTATTTGGGGGATTATTGGCCAGAACATTTCTCTTTCCAAACAGAGTTACAGGATCCTTGATGATCACGTGAACAGGAAGACGATGACCCAAAGCATGTCACAAGATAAGCCTGTGTGGTTTAACCTGCTTATAACCCACTAAGATGACAAGACAAATGCTCTTTGCTTCAGCTACTCATAAGCCTTTGGCATTTAAAACAGGGGCCAAAATTTCTTTTATACAGTTTAAATTGAATTGTTCCTAACCACCAATTTTAAGTGGGAAACAAAATGCAAAATACTGCAGATGCTAGAAATCTGAAATTTCCCAGATACACCTTTTCTCTCTCTGGTCTGCCTGTTTTGTTGCAATTCCCCCCACCCCCACTTTGTTCTGCAGTATTAACATCTCCGTTCCCGTTTTGTTGCAATCCCCCCTCCCTTTGTTTTGCATCAACATCTCTTTTTAAGCCTTCATCCTGTCCTCTACCCCATTTTCTCCCGTCTTCCTTGCCCTGCCCCTGCCTCTCCCCTCTCTGTTAGCCCTTAAAAGCCTTTCTCCCAACCTTTCCCAGTTCTGAAGAAGGATGTGGACCCGAAACGTTGACTCACTTTCCTTTCTCCATAGATGCTGCCTGACCTCCAGAGTGTTCCCAGCGACTTCTGTTTTTGTTTTCAATTTTAAGTGGGACTTTTGCTAGCTGATAAAATCTACAGAAATCAAATTAATTCTGCAATTATTTTTCTGTTGAGGTGTGAAGCACATTTTGGATTGCTTGCCTAATATTAAGAAAAATCAAAGTAAAACAAAATTCACTTGAATTTCTCCTGTTCATCTAAACTAAATGAAGTGATGTATACAAAGGAAGATGGTTATCATTCTGTAGTGTTCTAATAGCATCTCGCATACAAATTANTTTTTATAGTTTTTCTTCCTGAGGCAATGTGCATCATGTAGGGATGTAAATATGGGGTTACCTTGATATTCATTTTAATTTGAGCTATTACTGCATCGTTCTGAGCCTTTTCACCCACAAATATACAGTCAATTCACTCTACAGTGTGTTCTGTGAAGCGCTTTGGGACGTCCTCCCAACGTGAAAAGCGCTATATCAAATGCAAGGATTATTATTATTTTTGCACTCAACTATCTAACAAGATTTCCAATTGCTGAGATAATGGAATAATGCACTACAATCCTGTACTAAGGAGAAAAAAGCAAAAATGTACACTAAAAGTAAATATACCACAACAGTACATCTTATGTTACCTTTATTCAAACAATGTTACCAAAATATAAATCAATAGAATGATTGTAGAAACTTGAGAAAATAAAGTGATTTTACACATTCTTACCAAATATTTTGGTTACAGTGGCTGTAAAAAAATTCAGATAACAAAAAAACATCCATTCAAGAATTTCTAAAGTAATTTTTAGTAATCAAGCTTTAGAAACCCGATAATTTCTCTGCCAAATACCCTAAGTTCATACTTCATGGTTAAAAGTAATTTGCCCTTTCAAAGATTCTCTACAACTGCTCATAGTAGTACAGAACTTTTATAGTTCATCTTTGCTGATTCTAGATATCTTACTTGCATGTTCCTCTACAAATTTACTCAAAGATTCAAGATCGCGGTCATTCTTATCATACTTAATTGGATTGTCTTTATTATTGCTTGGAGCAAAATAAATGGTAGGAAAGCCTTGAGCTTTGTATTTGTCATTTGGTATGTCGTTTGCTGTTGCATCCATCTTCGCAATAATCAAGTTTTTCTCATTCTTGTACTTTTTGGCCAAGTCTAAATATACAGGTTCCAGGCTCTTGCAATGTCCACACCAAGGTGCATAGAATTCTATTAGTACATCTTTCTTTTTGTCCATAACTATTTCACCAAATGTCTTGCCCACTACAATCTTCACTGGTCCTTTGTTTTTCTTTGGCACTGGTTGCGACTTCACAATAGGGGTCAATTTACCTGCAAAATTATAGAAAATACCATCAGTTAAGGTGGTAAATATGCACCTCGCCCTTTGATAGAAAATCTCAAAAACATTTAAGAATTCAACTTCTCGCAAGAAGGGCTGCTTTACCCAGTTACTCTTTCTTGTCATACCATGGAGTGCTTTGATTTGGTAGTTTGGTAGTAGGAAAAGGACAGAGACTTGTATACATACAGTTTGTTAATCTACTGGTATAGTGCTTCCCAGCTTCCCTCCCTGGGACTCCATGCAGAAACCCATTCAATCTGTATTCCCAGCCCAGAGTACAAAAATTGTCCTGGTCAAAGTCACCAATGACATTCTTTCCATCAGTGATCATGGTTCTCTCTGCCTCATTGCTCTATTCAATCTCTCCATCAATACTGACACGATCCTTGTCCTCACCTTCAAATCCCACTGTGTTCTTGCCCAACCCTACTTTTGCGACTTCTTCAACCCTATCGACCCAGCCTCTAGGAACAACATTACACCTTAGACTTATCTAAACTGCATGGAATTCGTAGCTTGGTTTGGATACTCTTAAGCATAATGATGGGTTTCCACATGTGTCAGACACCCGCTGACCAAAAAATAAATAAAATTAGACTGATCTGAATTTTTAAAGAGGGAACCACAATCAAAACAGGAACCTTGGTTGAAATTCTCTCCCCCCAACCAGGAAGGTGGAGCTAGTTGAGCTCCCCATTGCTCGCCCTCAAAAACAATGTGGGGCCTTTTTGGTCTCACTGTTTATCACATCATGCATCGTATTTGTTCATAATGTCCAATATTGTGCACCTTTTAAATAAAAACGTGCATTCATTAACATGTATGTTATCTATATCATATGAGAAAATTGACCAAATGGCCTTCTGTGCCCCAAGTTTCTATTTCTAAACCCTTTTTAAAATTCTTTGAACAAGACCCATAGATACCCGACAGCAAACGAGAAACATTGATGTACAACCCTTTCATTCCACTACAATTATGTTCGACGTACCTTTTTTAAATGCAATTACAAACTCTCTCAGAGTTTCAGAGTCAAATTCATCTGGTTCCATTCCATATTTCTTGCCACCAGCATCAAAGATTGCTGCATTCACATCTTCACCACTCTCTGCCAGGCCCAGATCAATCATCTCTGATGAATAATCTTCTTCATCGGCAATTGCAAAAGTGTATTCAGGGAAATCCTTGGCTACTTTCAAAACTTTTTTCCGCCAGTACTGAGTAGCTTGAGAACAATAATTCTCAAAGAATGAGCATCATTAAATAGACTTACTATACTAAGACAGTTAATTTTTACATTTAAACCCATAAATGTTATCCGGATACTATTTGTTTGTAAGAAGACAGTACATTATGTTCCATTTGCTTTAGAAGAGCTAATGTGTATACCAGGTCCCTTAAATGTTGTTTATTTATATTATATATATTTTTATTATAGGGAAAATTAAGTTTCCAAAATACAATTATTTTTGGTTCAAGAGCTTTGCTTAAATTGATGAGAATCATTGCTGTTACATCCAATTCCAATTGCCTTTTTCTGATGAACCTCCCCCAAATGTTTTGAAAAACTGCTCTCAGTTCAGAGGTGGTATTTCAGTGTACGCCTTCCTTAAAATAAACTGAAAAATGTAGTGTACATGAAATTGTTACTCAACAGTAATTATGAATTAAAATGAGCCAATATATTCCAGTCATCTTCTTTGGAAAGCAAAAAAGGATCACATGAAAAGATCTCTTGAATAATGATGTGGTATGCTTTTTATATATGCAAGTCATTTCCAGATGTAAAAGTACAGCAGCTAATGAGGGAGAGGCAATGCAGATATTTCAGTAAGATTTTTAAAAAATAATGCTAAAAAATGTGCTGGAGCAATTCCATCTAGTCTTAATTTTGTGTACAATTGTGAAAAATTCTTAAATATGGAAGTTTTTTTGCACGTCTTTAAAAGAACCAAACTGTACTTTATTACTGTATTAATTTAAAGGTTTTGCAAAATAGCACATTTGCAAGATAAACCCTTTCAATATAATAAAATGTGTCCATAAATAAAACAGTATCTAATGTACTTACCAATACGATAATCAAAACTGAAGTCAATTCCATAATACACAACCACTAATGGTCGCCTACTGTATCTTTTCACATCATTGCTTTGTTTACGATGTCCAACTAAAGGCAAAGCATTATTTGTAATAAATTCCTTAATTTCAGACTCTGCTGTGGTATCCTGTAATATAGAATTAAGGAATAGATTTAGCTCATTCCCCATGTAAAACCACAGTGGGATACAGAAACAAGATTCCCAACAGAAATCTCTTCATAGAACAGAGAAACAACTGAAGTACTTGATATAAAGAACTTTACCCAAAAGATCCACTCAAAGTTACTAAACACTCTTTAATTAAAACTGGCCACAAACTGGAGAAATAACTAATTCAATCAATCTCCAGCTGCCTCAAGTTAAATTCTGGTAAAGAGATTTTGAGCAGCTGTCAGGATCACAGAATCTTGGCACCAGTTGGGTCGAATAGCCCATTTCTGTGCTGTACAATCCATGCATGTGGTCTGGTTACAGATACTAGTTTTTAGTGAACATCAACAACAAAATTACATTTGTATAGTGTCTTTCACGTCGCCGAGAGCTGGGGGTCCGGAGTGACCATAAGACATAGGAGCAGGAGTAGGCAATTTGGCCCCTCGAGCCTGCCCCGCCGTTTAATAAGATTATGGCTGATCTTCTAACTATTTCCATTTATCCGCCCTATCCCCATATCCCTTAATCCTCTATCCTTCAGAAATCCATCAACCTCAGTCTTGAATATGTTCCACACGCCTAATAATAATCCCTCCAAAACCCAAAACAATAATAAATTGGTCATTTTCAATCCATGACTGTTTGTGGGACATTGCTGTGCGCAATTGGCTGCCGCGTTTGCCCACAAATATACAGTCAATTCACTTTACAGTGTGTTCTGTGAAGCGCTTTGGGACGTCCTCCTGACGTGAAAAGCGCTATATCAAATGCAAGGATTATTATTATTATTATTAAGGACTGAGCATCCACAGCCTTCTGGGGTAGAGAATTCCACAAATGCACTACCCTCTGAGTGAGCAAAGCGGGGAATGTGGCCAGAGCCCGCTGAGCGGAGGGAGTGATCAGGGTGGTAAGGGGGTTAGGATGTTGGGAGAGGTAGGGGGGAGCAAGACCGTGGAGAGCTTTGAAGGTGAGGGACAGGATCTTGAACTGTATCCTTTGTGCGATGGGAAGCCAGTGGAGTTGGGCGAGGATAAACTCAGTTGGACGCACCAGTAAAGCCTCAATAAAGTGGCAACAGAAGCTGTAGAATTTTTGTTTCAAATGTAAACTGTTTTACATTTTTCTGTACCCTTTATATCTTTTCAGCTCACGTAAAGAAAAAAAAGCTACACACCAGTCAAACTGTTCACTCGAATAACTTTCCAAAGAAACACAGGAAGTGGGAACGTAAAGAAAGGAAAGAGGAAAAAAAAAACTTACTTTGAGAGACAAAGTGTGCATTTTGGGCTCATATTTGGACTGAAACCGTTCAGGCTGCATCATGACAAGTTGTCCAGGTGCGGTGTTTAAGAAGTTTCTTATTTCAACGTTGAACGTGTGTTGAAATTTGTAGTCCTCACGGAGAGAGTTACCTGTAACAGAGATAGTTACCCGAACACAAACCCCAAAAGAATCCTTATTAAAATTAGGTTTCTAGGAAACAGGGTTAAATAGTCACCCATTTGTTAAAAACGTATCAGAAATGCGGACTCAATTACTGTTTAACAATGAAAAAGAGGGAGTCTTATGCTTTATATCAAAAACATAGAAAAGTGACAAAAAGAGAAATTAGAAAGGCTAAGAGAGATCAGGAAAAAAACACCATAGAACAACATTAAAGGAAACTGTAAAGGTTTTTAATAAGCATATTAGAAACAAAAATGATAGTCAGGAGGAGGTTGGACTGCTTAGGAACAAGAGTGGTAATTTGGTGCTAGAGGAGGGGATGGCAGAGCTATCAAATAAGTATTTTGCCTCCATTTTCACTGAGGAGTAGATACTCCCAGAACAGAGTTTAAAATGGGGCGAATGAGGATCAACTACTGGGGATAAAGATCAAAATGGAAACTATACTAAAAAGTTAGAACTAAAAATTGAGAAATCACAGGGCCCTGGTTGCAAGTGAATAAAATCATGAGGAGCTTTGTTGTGGTACATAAAGAGGAGTTATTTCCAATGGTTGGGGAGTCAATAACTAGGCGACATAGATATAAAATCACCGCAAGAAGAGTAAGCGGGGAACTTGGGAGGAATTTCTTCACTCAGTGGAGTAGTTGGAGTGTGTAACACCCTACCAAGGAGGCACATTCCATTGTAGCCTTCAAGAGGGAAGTAAGACAGATGTATGAAGGAGAGGGGCTTGAAGGGAAATCCATGCTCTGTGAGCTGGTGCAGGCTTGATGGGCTGAAGAGCTTTTAAACACACCCATCTTGGTTGTCCATAATTAGCAATAACCTCCATTTTACAAATGATGGGATTATGGTTTTAAAAAAGCCTTTACTGTAATTCATATCCACACTTATAAACTCAGACTTCAACAAGTACAGTGGAGCCTTGCTACAACATGGTGATTGAGAATCCTGAGGCTACACTAAGGATGTGATGGCTGGTTAGACTGAGCACGCGCACAGCCAGTTAGTTGTCCTGCTTCCTGCATGCCAGCCAATTTCCACTCTTAAAAATGGTCAATTTCTGAATCACCGGGTTGTTGCCAACATCACTTCCTGTGTGCTGCGCGTGCGCAAAGTGGGAAGTAACATAAGCAACAATCTAATAATCTGGAAATTGGCCATTTTAGTGTTGAGACTTGGTTGGCAAGGAAGAGGGCTGCCTGTGTGCTTTCACACTGAATGGGTCCCTCACCATAACTGCGTTATAACAGGGCCACTCTGTACGTAGAGTCGAGGTCTTTTAGGTAAAGCACATTCATTTAAAAACCCAGTAAATCTTTTAGTAAGATGCTAACTTGGTAATCAAACTATCCCCAGGATTTAAAAAAAATCTCCCTCGTAAATCCTTGATGGACAAAAGTAAAGGCTATTTCAAATCACCCAATACTGTTCAGCTCAGCAAGTTACTTACAGGCATCTTGATAGATTTGATATTCTGGGTCTTGTTCTCCGTTGAAAAATGCCAACACGATTACATCATCACCATCTTTAAGGAATTCTTGAACTTGTTTAAGAGTCTGAATATGCTTGGATGGAGGGCCAGCTTGTTCAGCCATGTGTTCAACTATACCTAGATATAAATTAGAGAAAAAAAAATTAAAAGCTGGAACACAACATTAACCTGGAATCACAGCTGAAGCTTTTGAAGATAAGATTGGGAAGATAAAATAGCATTCGTAACAGGTTAGGATTACTTTAAAATAAACATTACGTATCACTGTTCATTGGAAAGAACTATATTTAAACTCAAGATAAGCAGTTATGTGGTAATAACATGAATAAATCACTATAATGCATAAGGATACCTATTGGAGAGGGTGGCTGAGGGAGGGCGAAAGGGTGTTTGCCTTTCAGAGGCAGTTGGTGCGGAGAGAGTAAGCGATGGGACAGTTGGAGTGGTTACTCTAGAACAACCAATGTCGGGAGTCACGATGGGTCTGACGGAGGATGCAGGCAGACATCGGGAACGAGTGATCAGTGGGGCAGCATCAGCCATGGGAGACAGCGCGGTTGGGGGGGGGGAGGCGGAAAAAGAGTATGGCGATTATGGCTAACGTGCCAGAAACAGGGAAGGAAAGGAGGGAGGACAAGGTAGCAGAAGGATAGCAAAATCTCACATACGACTCAAGCCGTCACCATCAAATACTGTCTTAAACTGCTCAAGTTATCCGTCATCTGTCTGGCAAACTATTGCACATTTTATACCTATGCAAACTTTATTGTGCATACTCATTTGAACAACATGCTGCTTTAAATCAACATAAGATTATCTCTCAATTGTCAATTTCTAATATACGTTACCAACTTCTGCCAACTCTTCACATAGCTCAGATTCCTAATCTCATAATTAATGTTTGCTCTTTGTCATACCTTTTTCTTTTAGGTCTGTAATACAAACCCAATAACAGTACACAAAAGTCCAAGTAGAGTCATATTAATGAGTTTTATAACCCTACTAGGACCTGTGATTTATGTTTTATTCCTCTAGCTTTCCATTCTACAGTTCTGCTATATGATTATCAGTTGTCCAAAGGTATATTACCATATCTGTCTCTTGGTCCATTGTATTCAAAAGCTTTACCCTTGCGAAACAGTTTCAGGGTAGGATAGCCAGAAACCTGGTACTTGCTAGCAAGTTCTGATTCAGTAGTAGCATCTACTTTAGCAAGAGGAATGGGCACAGGACGCTTGCTGAGATCCTGGGCTGCCTTCTCATATTCTGGAGCAAGCTTTTTACAATGTCCACACCTGTAATGAAGTGCAGTCAAGGCAATTTGTATTTATTACTGTAGCCGACACACAAATATAAAGCAGGCTATCTATAAAAACAATATAGACTATTCACCATGTTGTGCTTATTCCCAATATTTAAGTTATTAGTATTAGCAGTTTACAAGCACTAAACAGATCGTAGTTTTGCATTAAAATAAAATTGGCAACAGTATAAATATTCGATTACCCTGTATACATCATTGAAATATTTTTCTAATTTTTTGTGCCATTAATTATAATAAATAATAATAATAATCCTTGCATTTGATATAGCGCTTTTCACGTCGGGAGGACGTCCCAAAGCGCTTCACAGAACACACTGTAAAGTGAATTGACTTTATATTTGTGGGCAAACGCGGCAGCCAATTGCGCACAGCAATGTCCCACAAACAGTCGTAGATTGAAAATGACCAATTTATTATTGTTTTTGGTTTTGGAGGGATTATTATTAGGTGTGTGGAGTAAGGAAACTTGCCCAAGGTTTCGCTCTGCCTGGAATTGAACTCAGGTCTCTCGCTTACAAAGCGAGTGCTCTAACCACTGAGCTACAGGACTCCATTATCACGAGGTCACGAGGAAAGAGATCTCTGGCAAGAGTTGCATCTCATCTTTCTGGATATCAGTTTTCCTCTCCCTTTTGGAAGTCCAACATAACAATAATAAACCTTGTATTTGATATAGCGCTTTTCATGTCGGGAGGACATCTCAAAGCGCTTCACAGAATATACTGTAATGTGAATTGACTGTATACTTGTGGGCGAAACACAGCAGCCAATTGTGCACAGCAGTGTCCCACAAACGTCACGGATTGAAATGACCAATTTATTATTTTTTCTTCTTGAGGGATTATTACCAGTCGTGTGGAGTAAGAAAACTCCACTGAGCTACAGGACTCCACTGTAGCTGTGATGATTTCAATATCACTGAAATCAGCAGCCATGAACATAAATACTATCCACAGCACAGTGCACTGGGTTCCAACACAGTTCACACTATCATCAGCATTAGAAATAGTTAAACAATACTTTAGATACACAAACGTACAACAGAAAGGTATTTGGGCTCCAATTCTGAAATGCTGTTTTGAGATTAATTTACATTTTAAAATTAAACAAGGATTAAAAATGGTATGTGCACTTACCAAGGAGCATAGAACTCCACCAGAATTATATCAGCTTCATCCACTATCTCAGCAAAGTTACTTGAAGTCAAAGTAATGGTTACTTCAGGCGGCGGAGCCCAGTCTGGGGCAGCAATTTCTTTCACTTTAGACAGAATTTCTATGAAAACAAGTTTAAAGGTAAGCCACAACTGAAGAGAACAGTATAATCAGGCAGTACAGGTAAATCAACAGAAAATGCTTGTACTGAAGTGAAAATTTACAACTGAAGTCAATAGATTTAATTATGAATTTTCTCATCTGATGTTTTCAGGAAAATTATGAACACAAGTGTGATCCTTCTATTTACTTGCAAGAACAACAATTTGCACTTTTAGAGCGCCCTCCATGCAGGGTAGGGTCTCAGAGCGCCTAACAGTGGTGGAGCCTAACTCCGAGCTGGGTGGAGGGGGTAGGTGGCCGTAAACACAGACGAAGAGGAAAGTTTTCAGGCAGCATTTGAAAGAGGGGAGGGGGGTAAGATGTAAGGATTGAGAGAGAGTGTTTCAGGGTTTTGGGGCGTAGTGGCTGAAAGCACGACCTCCGATGGTGGAGTGGAGGTGTGAGAGTCAAGCAGGAGGCCAGTGCCAGTTGAGCGGATTATTGAAACCTACAGCACTGAAGCAGGCCGGTCGACCCATCATGTCTGTCTGAAAGTTATCCAATTACAACAGCTTGCATTTATATAGCGCCCCTCATGCAGGGCAGCGTCCCAGATCGTTTGACAGTGGCGGAGCACGACACCGAGCCGGTGGGAGAGGGAGCTGACCATAGACACAGTAGAATAAGAAGGACTTCAGGCAGGACCTGAAGATGCGGAAGGGCCAAGGCGAAAGGATAGAAGAAGTGTTCGAGAGTTTCAGGGTATAGTGGCTGAAAGCGCTGCCACCAATGGTGGAACAAAGGCACAAGGGACATACAAAAGGCCAGAGCCAGTCAAGCGGAGGCAGCAGTTTGTGGGGTAAACAGGTTGGGGAGGCAAAGAGGTGCCAGGGCATGAATGGATTTGAAAACAAGTGTCAGGATCTTGAAATCAATGTGTTCGGCAACAGGGAGCCAGTAGAGCTTGGCTAGAACTGGTGTGATGAGGGTATGGAGTTTTTCTACAGGTGAGTATGTAGGTAGTGGAGTCTTGGATCATCTGACCTTGTGTATGGTGGAGTTGGGAGACTGGCAAAGCGGGCATTTGAAAAGTTGAGCCGGGAGGTGATGAATGCATGGATGCATGTTTCAGCTTCATCTGGGATATGGTACAGTCGGAGGTGGGCAATGTGGCGGAGGTGGAGGAAAGTGGTCCTGGTCATGGGACTGGATGTGGAGAAGGATGCACAGCTGTGGGTCGAACCTGATACTTGGGTTGCGCACTGGTTAGGTTAGTCTGAGGGATGGCTTTGGGATGTTAAAGTGGCCACAACTGCAGGGTAGAAGACGCTGACGGTGGCCAATGAGTATGGCTTCCGTCTTGTCAATATTGAGTTGTAGTCCTACTCTCCTGCTCTTTCTTCATAGCTTTGCAAATTTTTTCTTTTCAAGTATATCCAATTCCCCTTTGAAAGTTATTATTGAATCTGCTTCCACCACCCTTTTAGGCAGTGCATTCAAGACCATAACAACTTGATGCGTAAATAGTCATATGGTTTGGTAATCAGCTGAAGGAAAGGATACAAAGGGAGGTCATAAGAGGAACTTGGTTGAAATTGGGGTGGGGAAAGAGAGTTTTTTTTAAGTGGAGTGGCAATCCCATCTTTCCTTACCATCTTTTGTTCTTCCTCCATCATAATCAACTGGCTGTCCCTTTTTAAATATTTTAAATGTGGGGTAGCCACTGACATCAAATCGGCTGGCAAGCCCAGACTCTGTTGTGGCATCTGCTTTGCCAACAGGGATAGGAGGATCGTTTTCTTTCAGCTCACTGGCTATCTTCTCGTATTCTGTTGCAAACTGTTTACAATGTCCACACCTGCCGAACAAGGAGAAAATATGATGAAACCAGGAACCCCACTTCAATCACTACTCAAGCTTTACTGCAATAGATTTAACAAGGTTTAACATTTCAGAGTGGCAAGTTTTAGAACAATTCAGAATCCTAAAAACTAAATTCAAGGACACCCAGAAAAACATTGGGTACTTTGGTCAAATGTTATTCATCTAAAAATATGAATCACTAATATTTATATTACTTTTCTCCTTTCTTCCTGAAGATGCCATTTCTTCCTTGGAAGCAACGTCATGAGGGTGGGGTATTGACCACCCAGTGGTACCTTGCTTAAGCGACCATTCAACAATTCAACATGTGCAGGCATAGACAGTGACTGTTTGCAGAGTGTTGTGCAATGGCCAGTATGAGACAACTAAAATTTGGATCCTGTTTTTAAACTTCCACAACGGGGGGGGGGGGGGGGAGGAGGAGAAGGGGAGGAACCAAGGTCAAATCAACACCCAACAGGTTTCCAACTAAGATAAGCTCTGCAAACTGAAATTTGTACCTGCAAACTGCCAAGACACAACCCCATGTGAAGGGTACTATATAATTGAAAGCTGTTGTAACTGTTGCATCTTACCTGTTACACTTAGTGCCTTTGCCCATTATGTTCCTAATGTGCCAATTATAATTTTAAAAACAAATTTTTTCTACCATTCAGAATCAAAACTTAAAATAAATTACCAAGGGAGCAAAAGCATTTAAATTCAAAGAGCACATGTCTGACTTTGACAAAGGAATCAAAACAAACCTGCATTTTATAAGCATACCTACCAAGGGGCATAAAATTCAACTAGTACAACATCTTTGTCTTCAATAAATGAATCAAAGTTCGCATCTGTCAAAACCAAAACACCATTTTCTTCCTTGACTGACTTGTCATCATCGGCATCATCATCATCATCAAAATCCTCTTCCTCCTCTTCATCTTCTACCTCCTCTCCATCAGACTCTGCGAAGAATAAACAATTCTAGCATTTATATAGGGATACTCTATGGTTTAGAATCTAGATATTCCTCCATGGTATTAGCCCATTTATGCAATTTTCCATTATCATAGCAAATAGTTTAAATAATTTAAACTATCTCCTGCATTAAACAGATCACATGGCAAAAGATTACTTCCAACACTATGCAACAATCTTTCAGTTACTGTAGTAATCAAAACTGCAAGCTTCAGCATGCTGAACATTGGGCAAGAATGGGATCATGCTTAGTTGTGTTGCCTGAATGGTGAAATAAATTCAGTTTGACCAAATGTGACCTTCAACTTATGCTTACAGCTAATCGTATTCAGAGTGGAGCTTCAATTATAATAATATTATTTATTATTATAGAGTGGAGCTTCAATTGACCCTAGTCTAGAGAGTGGAAACAAAATGTAGCCGTAGTTTTCACTTTTGATCCTTACAAAGCAACTGCAGCTGGAAATAGTAAGTGTGTGAATGTGAGCAAAAGCAGTCCATCAATTTCCATCCTCTCCATATGATTGCTCAACCCTCACCATCTTGTGAGCAGTCAGTGCCTTGAGGAAGAATTATGATAAATGGGGTGGAGAGAAGAAAAAATATTCTAGATTATAAATTTAGCCTTTATCAATACAATTAAATGAATCAATACCATCAGTACCATCTTGTGCATTAACCTGACTCAGTGAGGCACTCTTGCCTCCGAGTCAGAAGGTTCAAGCTCCACAAAGAGATTTGAATTTACAGTCTAAGCTGACCCTCCAATGCAGTGCCGTGGGTGCTTTGCATTACTAGAGGTGACGCTCTTCAGACGAGATGTTAAATCGAGATCCGTCTGCCTGACTATTCTATTCAAAAAGAGAAGATAGTCCTGGCGAAAAAATCCCCTGAAATAAAATTGGTCACTCACTTCACGACTGTTTGTGGGACATTGCTATGTGCAATTGGCTGCCATGATTTGCCCGCAAAGTACAGTCGACCCACCTTATAGTACAGTATATCCTGTGAAGAGCTTTGAGACGTTGTGACAATGTGATAAGGCACTGTATCAAATGCAAGGATTATGAATTACCACGCAAGAAAACGGAGTGAAGACATTTTTACGTACCTATCATAAAGGGGATTCATGAACTCATGCAGTAATACTCGAGCCGGACATTCTCGTTTCAAGGACCACCACTTTAGAGTCATCTAATCAGGTAGGTCGGGAGAGGGAGGGAGGCCACATCTCATTCCAGACACGGGGAAATAATAAAATAACCTTCGCATCGGATACGGCACCTTCCAGTGCAGGTGACGTACATACACGGAGCTCAGTCCGGGTCAGATACTCTGACCCATCGCACGGCGATGGGTTTCCACACACATCAGAGCCGAACACAAGAAGACCCACAAGCGAAGCGGGACCCACCGCGAAGTCGAAGCGAACACAGTTTCGCTTGCGACGCCCCGCGGTTCAGTGGGCTGTGCGCGCGCGTGGCCTTTTGCCAAAATTCGGGCCAATTGAGGTACGTGGGGTCCTCCGGAGACCCTCCAGAGAGATTTCGGTCGAAGTTAAAGCGGGACCGTTCGGCCGCTGCCAACCCATTACACTTGGCTCTGGGTCCATCGTAATAAACCTATAATAATAATAATCCTCGCATTTGATGGAGCGCCTCATCACGTCTTCGAGACGTCTCAAAGCGTTTCACAGGATATAGCCGAGAGGTGTAGTGACTGTGTACATTGGCGGCCAAATCACGTTACTGATTTGTTTTGATTTGATTTGATTTGTTACTGATTACAAACAAATTACGACTGTTTGTGGGACATTGCTGTGCGCAATTGGCTGCCGCGTTCGCCCACAAATATACAGTCAATTCACTTTACAGTGTGTTCTGTGAAGCGCTTTGGGACGTCCTCCCGACGTGAAAAGCGCTATATCAAATGCAAGGATTATTATTATTATTATTATTATTATTACGGCGGAGGGAGGTGCAGCTCGGCTCCGGGGCTCAGGCGGCGTCTCCCGACCCTCACACACGTCCATCACGGGGGTCTGCATCAAATAAAGCGCCGGGGCCGGGCCGGGCCGGGGGGGCCGGGCCGGGGGGGGGGGGGCACGGGGATCAGGTGCCGAGAGGGACAGATGATGAGGAGCTGAAACAAAAGGGTGGACCCCCCCCGCCCCGGGGCCTGGCGGGCACTTACCCGGCTTGTCCTGGGCCAGGCCGAGCAGCGCCAGGTGTGAGAGCAGCAGCAGCAGGAGGAGGAGGGTCGCCCGCTTCAGCTCCATGGTGTAGCGGGCGGGTCACGGGCTGAGAGTCACGGGAATCCCCGAGGGTGGCGGCCGCGGTGCAGACGGTTCCCGGCGCCGCTCCTGTCTCTCTCGGTGTGTGGGTCTGTGTGTGTGGGTGTGCGCGCGCGGCTGTGACTGTGTGACTGGGCCCCGCGGCCCCGCCCCTCAGGGCCCCGCTCAGCTCTGAGGTGCCGCCTTCCCATTGGTCCTCTCCCGCCGCCCAATCGGCGGGCGCCACTCGGAGCTCACACACGTGCCTGCGTGCCGCCGGGGGCTCAGGGCGCATGCGCCGGGAGGGCACCGTCAGCAATGTGCCGCGTGTATGTGTGTGTGTGTGTGGGGGGAGGGACACAGTCACAGGTGTCAGTGATGGGGTGTGTGTGGGGGAGGGGTACAGTCACAGGTGTCAGTGATGGGGTGTGTGGGGGAGGGGTACAGTCACAGGTGTCAGTGATGGGGTGTGTGTGGGGGAGGGGTACAGTCACAGGTGTCAGTGATGGGGTGTGTGGGGGAGGGACACAGTCACAGGTGTCAGTGATGGGGTGTGTGGGGGAGGGGTACAGTCACAGGTGTCAGTGATGGGGTGTGTGTGGGAGGGGTACAGTCACAGGTGTCAGTGATGGGGTGTGTGGGGGAGGGACACAGTCACAGGTGTCAGTGATGGTGTGTGTGGGGGAGGGACACAGTCACAGGTGTCAGTGATGGGGTGTGTGGGGGAGGGGTACAGTCACAGGTGTCAGTGATGGGTGTGTGTGGGGAGGGGTACAGTCACAGGTGTCAGTGATGGGGACTGTGTTGGGGAGGGACACAGTCACAGGTGTCAGTGATGGGGTGTGTGTGGGAGGGGCACAGTCACAGGTGTCAGTGATGGGGTGTGTGGGGAGGGGTACAGTCACAGGTGTCAGTGATGGGGTGTGTGGGGGAGGGGTACAGTCACAGGTGTCAGTGATGGGGTGTGTGTGGGAGGGGCACAGTCACAGGTGTCAGTGATGGGGTGTGTGGGGGAGGGGTACAGTCACAGATGTCAGTGATGGGGTGTGTGGGGGAGGGGTACAGTCACAGGTGTCAGTGATGGGGTGTGTGGGGGAGGGGCACAGTCACAGGTGTCAGTGATGGGGTGTGTGGGGGAGGGGTACAGTCACAGGTAGTGATGGGGTGTGTGGGGGAGGGATACAGTCACAGGTGTCAGTGATGGGGTGTGTGTGGGGGAGGGTACAGTCACAGGTGTCAGTGATGGGGTGTGTGGGGGAGGGGTACAGTCACAGGTAGTGATGGGGTGTGTGGGGGAGGGATACAGTCACAGGTAGTGATGGGGTGTGTGTGGGGGAGGGGCACAGTCACAGGTGTCAGTGATGGGGTGTGTGGGGGAGGGACACAGTCACAGGTGTCAGTGATGGGGTGTGTGGGGGAGGGGTACAGTCACAGGTGTCAGTGATGGGGTGTGTGGGGGAGGGGCACAGTCACAGGTGTCAGTGATGGGTGTGTGGGGGAGGGACACAGTCACAGGTGTCAGTGATGGGGTGTGTGGGGAGGGGCACAGTCACAGGTGTCAGTGATGGGGTGTGTGGGGAGGGGCACAGTCACAGGTGTCAGTGATGGGGGGTGTGTGGGTGGAGGGGTACAGTCACAGGTGTCAGTGATGGGGTGTGTGGGGGGAGGGGTACAGTCACAGGTGTCAGTGATGGGGTGTGTGGGGGAGGGGTACAGTCACAGGTGTCAGTGATGGGGTGTGTGGGGGAGGGGTACAGTCACAGGTAGTGATGGGGTGTGTGGGGGAGGGATACAGTCACATGTGTCAGTGATGGGGTGTGTGGGGGAGGGGCACAGTCACAGGTGTCAGTGATGGGGTGTGTGGGGGAGGGGCACAGTCACAGGTAGTGATGGGTGTGTGGGGGGAGGGGTACAGTCACAGGTAGTGATGGGGTGTGTGGGGAGGGATACAGTCACAGGTGTCAGTGATGGGGTGTGTGGGGGAGGGGCACAGTCACAGGTGTCAGTGATGGGGTGTGTGGGGGGAGGGGTACAGTCACAGGTGTCAGTGATGGGGTGTGTGGGGGAGGGACACAGTCACAGGTGTCAGTGATGGGGTGTGTGGGGGAGGGGCACAGTCACAGGTGTCAGTGATGGGGTGTGTGGGGGAGGGGTACAGTCACAGGTGTCAGTGATGGGGTGTGTGGGGAGGGGCACAGTCACAGGTGTCAGTGATGGGGTGTGTGGGGAGGGGCACAGTCACAGGTGTCAGTGATGGGGTGTGTGGGGGAGGGGTACAGTCACAGGTGTCAGTGATGGGGTGTGTGGGGGAGGGATACAGTCACAGGTGTCAGTGATGGGGTGTGTGGGGAGGGGTACAGTCACAGGTGTCAGTGATGGGGTGTGTGGGGGAGGGGTACAGTCACAGGTGTCAGTGATGGGGACTGTTGGGGAGGGGCACAGTCACAGGTGTCAGTGATGGGGTGTGTGGGGGAGGGACACAGTCACAGGTGTCAGTGATGGGGTGTGTGTGGGTGGAAGGGTACAGTCACAGGTGTCAGTGATGGGGTGTGTGGGGGAGGGGTACAGTCACAGGTAGTGATGGGGTGTGTGGGGGAGGGGTACAGTCACAGGTGTCAGTGATGGGGTGTGTGGGGGAGGGATACAGTCACAGGTGTCAGTGATGGGGTGTGTGGGGGAGGGGTACAGTCACAGGTGTCAGTGATGGGGTGTGTGGGGGAGGGACACAGTCACAGGTGTCAGTGATGGGGTGTGTGGGGGAGGGGCACAGTCACAGGTGTCAGTGATGGGGTGTGTGGGGGAGGGACACAGTCACAGGTGTCAGTGATGGGGTGTGTGGGGAGGGGCACAGTCACAGGTGTCAGTGATGGGGTGTGTGGGGAGGGCACAGTCACAGGTGTCAGTGATGGGGTGTGTGGGGAGGGGTACAGTCACAGGTGTCAGTGATGGTGTGTGTGGGGGAGGGGTACAGTCACAGGTGTCAGTGATGGGGTGTGTGGGGGAGGGGCACAGTCACAGGTGTCAGTGATGGGGTGTGTGGGGGGAGGGGCACAGTCACAGGTGTCAGTGATGGGGTGTGTGTGGGGGAGGGGTACAGTCACAGGTGTCAGTGATGGGGTGTGTGGGGGGAGGGGCACAGTCACAGGTGTCAGTGATGGGGTGTGTGGGGGAGGGGTACAGTCACAGGTGTCAGTGATGGGGACTGTTGGGGAGGGGCACAGTCACAGGTGTCAGTGATGGGGTGTGTGGGGGAGGGGTACAGTCACAGGTGTCAGTGATGGTGTGTGTGGGGGAGGGGTACAGTCACAGGTGTCAGTGATGGGGTGTGTGGGGGAGGGGCACAGTCACAGGTGTCAGTGATGGGGTGTGTGGGGGGAGGGGCACAGTCACAGGTGTCAGTGATGGGGTGTGTGGGGGAGGGGTACAGTCACAGGTGTCAGTGATGGGGTGTGTGGGGGAGGGGCACAGTCACAGGTGTCAGTGATGGGGTGTGTGGGGGAGGGGTACAGTCACAGGTGTCAGTGATGGGGTGTGTGGGGGAGGGGTACAGTCACAGGTGTCAGTGATGGGGTGTGTGGGGGAGGGGCACAGTCACAGGTGTCAGTGATGGGGTGTGTGTGGGTGGAGGGGCACAGTCACAGGTGTCAGTGATGGGGACTCTGTTGGGGAGGGGCACAGTCACAGGTGTCAGTGATGGGGTGTGTGGGGGAGGGGTACAGTCACAGGTGTCAGTGATGGGGGGTGTGTGGGTGGAGGGGTACAGTCACAGGTGTCAGTGATGGGGTGTGTGGGGGAGGGGTACAGTCACAGGTGTCAGTGATGGGGGTGTGTGGGTGGAGGGGTACAGTCACAGGTGTCAGTGATGGGGTGTGTGGGGGAGGGGTACAGTCACAGGTGTCAGTGATGGGGTGTGTGGGGGAGGGGTACAGTCACAGGTGTCAGTGATGGGGTGTGTGGGGAGGGGTACAGTCACAGGTGTCAGTGATGGGGACTGTGTTGGGGAGGGGCACAGTCACAGGTGTCAGTGATGGGGACTGTGTTGGGGAGGGGTACAGTCACAGGTGTCAGTGATGGGGTGTGTGTGGGGGAGGGGTACAGTCACAGGTGTCAGTGATGGGGTGTGTGGGGGAGGGGCACAGTCACAGGTGTCAGTGATGGGGTGTGTGGGGGAGGGGTACAGTCACAGGTGTCAGTGATGGGGACTGTGTTGGGGAGGGGTACAGTCACAGGTGTCAGTGATGGGGACTGTGTTGGGGAGGGGTCAGACTGACGGGTACAGCTGTGGGTATCAGTGAGGTGAAGGGTTCAGAGGGTTTTTCTGTGGCCCTCCTGTGGACCTCCAGGTGTGTGTTGGTGAGGGAGGTGAGACCTGCACTCCTCCCTTAACCCAATTAGACCGCAACGTCCCACTTTGAGAACCAGGCCTGCGCCCCCGCAGACAAACCCTCATCCCCAAACCCTTCTCGGCCCCAAGTTGTCAAAGGACCATGTGGACCTCCGACCCGTGTCTTCACGACCGCTCGAGCAAGTCTGGTGACGGAATGGCCTCTCCGGCAGGGCAAGCCCGGCCTGAGCCGAGTGACCGAGGGCCCAAGTGCGTTCTGAGTTCCAGTATCTCTGCTTCCTCTTTGTGAGAGCAGATCAACCTTCTTGGATCGGAAGTACTGCAATACCGATCCCAACCAACATATAGGGCTGAAAGCACAGCTGCAGCTGGGAGCTCAATCTTTCCCATAATGTACCAGTTGATGGGTGAGATTTGGTTCAGAAATCTCAGCAGGAGATGAGCTTCCCCAGCAATACTAGTTCCAGACGTAGCGTATAACTGAGTTGCAGAGCACTTCTACACTCCATCATGGGCTGGGTTCCTGCAATAAAATCAACAAGGAAGTGTCGTTGGTGTCACCTGTTACGCACTGTTAATGCACTGCTACACATTATTTAGTATCATTTCTCTGAATACTAACCTCTACTGCACCCATCATTGATGATCCTTCTTTCTGAATATTAACCTCTTCCGTGAAAACAACAAATTACACTTGTATAGCACCTGCACATTGGAAAAACAACCCAGAGCGCTGGACAATCGGGTTTTGGACCCGAGTTGGGGGTCAGAAGGGGAGGG